CAGTATAAAAGTTGTTGGACTTCTCAATCATTGTAACATTAAAAATAGGGTGTCATGTGATGCTGCTTAGGAATATTGATCCTAAAGCAGGATTGATGAATGGAACGAGACTTTAGATTACACAAATGGCGGATTTCATGATAGAAGCAAGAATTATTACTAGAGATAAAGCTGGAGATAAAGTTATTATTCCACGATTGCTGATCACTCCATCTGATGCAAGATTGCCTTTAAAATTAAGACGTAGACAGTTACCGTTGGCAGTTGCATTCGCTATAACCATAAACAAAATTCAGGGATAGTCGTTATCAGAAGTAGGTTTGTATTTACCTCGTCCTGTGTTTTCTCATAGACATCTATATGTTGCAATATCTCGGGTAACATCGAAGAAAGGCTTGAATATACTGATAGTAGATAGAGATGATAATCCACAAAGGCAAACAATGAATGTTGTATTCAAAGAAGTATTCTGGAATTTAGGAAATGATCGTGATGATTAAAAATGTATGTTTTTCATTTTCGTATTCGTTTCGTTAATATATAATATAATGCATTCACTATGTAAAATTTTTTGTTTTTATGTTTTATGTAGGGGTGAATGCGTCACTGTATTCCTATGGTTATTATATGATTCGGCTCAGTGTTGTTTATCGTTTGACGTTGTTATATTTTTCAATTGAACAATATATGTTGAACCAATTAAAGTATTTTTTTTTGAAATACAGTGTCATTTGGTTAATTGTTTTGGGTTTTTATGTAGAAGTGTTATGTTTGATATGGTCCATTTATGATAGAAACTAGAAAGAAATTTATATTTTGGTATAATGACAGTTTCTATTTGCAACTTTTTATGTTTGTATTTATTTCGATCGAGTATATACGGACCAATGTTTACCTTTATATATATCGAACTGGTAGTTTACGATGACGTGTATGAGATAAATCAGTCTCGAACAGATTGGATTGTAAGTAGTTTAGACAGTAGATTCCGTAAGGTACACTTATGGTACTGTTGTCTGACACAAATGTTTAGTTATGATTCACTATAGTTATAAAAAAAACTATTTTATTTAGTGTTTTAGGCTTTACAACTAGCGAATAACAGTACTATAATTGTACCATAAAGAATGTGTTGATTCAATTGTTTTATATATAATTAGACTTGACTTTTGAAAAACTATATTCATCTATCATTGTTTAAAATCGATATTCTTGATTGGAAAATAGTTGAAAGAGATAAAATATTCAGCTAACAAGATATTACTTTGAAAACCTCACAAATTAATAATTAATCCATGCGTAAAATACAGCTATATAGCAACCTCGATTGTGTCTAAAAGAAACATACTGTCTATTTACTTTAGTGCATGCACTCGAACCTACCATCTTTATGTGTCAGACCTATATCCTACAGCATGCAGATTTCATTTCATGTAAGTGAATTATCACATCAATAATTTTTTTTGGTTGCATGCACTAAAGTAAATAAGCAGTATGTTATTTTAGAAACTAACCATCATGATTTACCAAAGGATATTTACTTATCGCACTTATATTATCCATATTACATGATATATCAAATAAAAAATGTAGCAAAATAATGTTAAGTAATCGCATTACTTATCGTTTAAGACAATATATGGTATATTCAGTAGTAAGTATCTTTTTATTTTTTAAGATTGTTTTATTTTTTAAGTATTCATAGTTTTTTCTGTTAACTGTATACATAGGGACGTCGTTATCAAGTGTTTTGCATTCGACCAATTTGCAAGTTGTTTCGATAATACGAGGAAATCGAGAAAATCTGATCGTGTTTTGTTCTATTAACTGAGTGGAGACTTGGGATCTATAAAAGTTAGTAACCACATGTAAATTAAATTTTTATTTGTTTCTGAAATTATACAAAATTATATTATTGTGTCAATATTTAGTTTTATATTTTACTTTGTAGGTGAACATATTGTTAGAATAGCAAGAGGTCAGTCTCGATTTCTTTTCGACCCAGAGATTACTGAATTTCAAGATTTTGCTTACATGTAAAAATTTGAGTGAAGTTGTAATATTAAATTACAGTTACTTTTATGTTTGCTTATATAATTTTAAAAACTTAGTAAACAGGTTTGTTCTAGCCGGCAAAGAATCCAATATCAAACTAGGGAACTAAGATGATGCTCGTGTAAAAGCGACTATATTCAAGCATCTATTGTTAAGGAGATATGTCCTCCTATTACTATTTATGTAATGAATTTAAATAACAAACATTTTATTTACGGTTTATCGTGTAACAATTGTCTTTATGTATTTCTGTAGACTTATTTTATTTGATATTTAATTTTATCATTTTACTCAGTTACTAATGTTATTAAATTTAAATCATCTTGAAATAAATAAGTCTCATTTATTTACACAATTTAATTCACTAAAAGTTTTTTTTTTTAAAACGAGTTTCAAAAATATAAATTAGGTTTGCCTTTATATCTTCCACACCCCACAACGCCTTGGCAGTTAAAGTGCATCATCTATTTCACTTTATAAGAATATCTCTATTAGAAGTAAAAAAATCATCCACTCTTTCTAATCGATACTTGTCTAAAATCATGGATTACCCAAGAATCCATAGAGATGAGATGGAAGATTTACGTGACGTTGGTCAATGTTGGGCTATTGATGCAAATATTTTGAGTATTTGGAGGTGACCTTCAGATGGCGGAGAGAGTATTCATATGATACTCATGGATCATAAGGTGCAATTGCAGAATATGAATTTATCATATTTTATTAAATTTTTAATCATATTGATTCTTCTTACATGTTAATTCCTATCAAATCGGTGATGAACAAGTTTTAATTGTTTAGGGTTTAGTTAAAAATTCGATTTGCTTATTTGATCATATACAATTGTCTGTATTGTTAGAGTGTGAAATTTCTGCTCTTATTTGGCCGTAAGACGTGCGTTTTCTAGAAGATAGTGTACGAGAAGGGGAGTGGAAATTGTTTATGGGTTTCAAAGTGTGTCTAGATGTAGGAGATCTGAGGCTAACTCGCCATAAGTACCATATTAGACTCAAGAATGGGTCCATTATTTTTGATATCCAGCCAAAGCCAGATCGCTACTTTTTGGATGCAGCCAGCATTTTTGATATTCTGCGGAAGAAAACTGACCCGAATGTTTTGACGGGTAACAAAATATATTATGAACATTCCCTTAATGTCTTCAATTTCCAAATTTTCATGTTTATTTGTCTTAATATAGAATTAGTTGGAACTATTTCTGCTGTCGGAAATATTGTGTGAGCCAAAACTCGCACAACCAAAAATTTGTTAAGGAAAACTTAAGGGATCGGAAACTTCTAGGGTTTATCGCAAGAACAGTAAGATCAAAGGAAAGTTTTTATTGCTGTGAAAGCGTTTAGCTCTTATTGCTTAGGGTTGCAAAAGTTACATAATGAATTGTCGAAATCTCCTATTTATACTAACTTCTTAAACCGCCTCTCCCGAGAATCTCGGGAGAGATTATAGGTATGTTTCCTTATCGCTTCGTGCGGCCACCGTCATAATACTTCGCCTAGGGCTTCTGTGGGCCTTCGTCTTCTAAAGCCTTGGTTCGGCCCATCTTGGAAAACCGGCTCGACCCAACACACAGGGAAACGATTCGGCCCATGCTTCCTCTCGCGATGCTAGGCCCGCTCACCGTTCTTCTCACAGCTCGGCCAATCTAACCTTCTCCACGGCTCGGCCCACTTGCCATTCGAGTTGAGACGCGACTTGGTCCAGCTCACCGAGGCGCGGCTCAGCCCAATCCTGTTGAAGCTCGGCCCTTACCTCTCGATACAGCTCGGCACGGTGGCTCCCCAACAAGGCTCGGCCCAGTCCATCTGTGATGCAGCTCGGCTCGGCCCATATCTCCTCATGCGCAGCTCGGCACGGTTACCTCTTTGCAGGGCTCGTCCTAATTACTCCTCTCTCTTACTGCAGCTCGGTTTTCTCAGGTACTGAGTCATTTTTTAGATGGTTAAAACGTTTGGGGTGAAACCGACCCCAACAGTTAGCCCCCCCCCCCCAGCTCGTCAGTTTCGGAGACGGGAGTGACGAGGTTCATCATTCTATGTCGCAGACTTAACCATCGTGCCGAGGAAGAAAGGAGACTTTTTACGTGTTGCTTTCACCGAGGTGTGCCACGAAGAGTAATAGCGAGGCGTTTTTTTTTTTTTTTTTTAGAGATGACGCCAAGCCGATTAAACGACGAGGCGTTTTGCAGGCATGATACCGAACCGAATACGCGGCAAGGCTATTTGTAACAGCTATGCCGAGCTGTCTTGCTAACGACGAGGCGTTTCAAGGGAAAGTTAGTACCGAGCCGTTTTGTTTAACGACGAGGCGTTTCAAGGGCCAGTTAGTACCGAGCCGTTTTGTTTAACGATGAGGCGTTTCAAGAGAAAGTTAATACCGAGCCGTTTTGTTTAACGACGAGGCATTTAGAGAGAAAGTTAATGCCGAACCGTTTTGTTTAACGACGAGGGATTTCAAGAGAAAGTTAATGCCGAGCCGTTTTGTTTAACGACGAGGCGTTTCAAGAGAAAGTTAATGCCGAGCCGTTTTGTTTAACGACGAGGCGTTTACTGTGGCGAGATATCGGCTGAAAACTCAGGTATCCCAACCGTTGGTCTTCCAAAAGAAAATTCCTGATTTATTAGTGCGTATAACCGACGCAGTTCGAGATAGCTAATATGCCGCGGATCCCACGCGCTGTTGGACGGTTTCCCGAGGTTCACACGGAACTCACGCGCTTCGGTTTTCCTATAAATAGGTGAGCTCCTTCGTTCCTTCTCATAATCTTCAGATCCACTCGTTTTCACTAAAAGGTAGCTCTCCCTTCTCTCTTCTTTCTCTCTCTAGTTTATTTAATTTCCGGCTAGGGTTCCGAGGTCTCCGCCGTTCCAGATCTTTTTCCGACGGAAGCTCGCCGCGTAACAGTGTAATTCCTGTATAAGTTGTAAATTATGTCGAGCCGCTCCGACGATTTGCTGGATTCGCATTTTAACTACGAGCCGAGCCGTGTAGGCGCCGAGGCGAGAGGCGTAACAGAGTCTTCCGAGGCGTCTATCTCGCCGAGCCCTTCCAACCGTTCACCTGAGAGTGACGAGGCGTCGAATCATACAAACCCGCCAGACGCTAGCTCTCCAGATGACGAGCTGTTGGTTTTGACGAGCCGCCCTCAGGATCCCGCTCTAGACGAAGATGTCAATCATGCCGCAGTGAAACCCGAGGTGGAAGCTTTTCCCTTTGATCTGCTCGAGGCGAAGCGTGAACTAGAATGTCTCATGGCGTCCCGAGGCGCTTCTTCATCTGGGCGAGGGAAAAGAGTGAAAAGACAAAAACTTGACCCGCCCGGCTCTACGCTCTCCTCTCCTGACTCACTCGAGGCATTGAGATGTCGCTTCGGGATATCCGAGGTGGTAGAATTTGTCCTTCCAGAGAAGGACGACCGAGCCGACAAACCTGCTGAGAATCACTTTACTCTGTACGAGGCGTTCTTTGAGCTTTGTTTTCTTTGGTTCCCGATCCCCGGAGTTATCCTCGAGTACCTCTGGAAACATGGGACCTCAATTGGGCAGATCATGCCGAGGGGTCTGCGGCACATGATCGGTATTTTGGTTCGGAGCTTCGAATGCGAGGTCGATATTGAGCTGAATCACCTGCTGAACTTGCTGGAAATCAGGAAAGCTCTGAAGGGAGATAGATTCTACATTTCCAACAAGTCCAACCGCCGGATTATAGGTGGCTTTCCAAGCAAGGATCAGTTCTGGACCGAGCGCTTTTTCTACGTCTTGGTGAACGAGGCGTCAGTTGGCGAGGACTACGTTCATAGAACCAAAACTGCTTGGGGACCACTTGGTAGCCGATCTGAAGCTTTGCCTCGGCTTGAAACTATTCGTTGTATATACTTTTCTTACCGAGCTGATTGTTCCCGTGTTGTTTTTGCAGTTCGGAACATTCTTCCCCCGATTCCCGACGACCTCTTTATCGTTAGAGACTCCCTTTTGGCCCAGAAGGTTAATTGGAGGAAGAATTTCACCCTCGAGAGAGTAGAAAAGGCGCGAGCTATTCTTGCCGGAGTCCCTGTCAGCTCTTCATCTTCCAGCTCCTCAAGAGATACCAGAGAAAAAATGGTGATAATCACTCTAAGAGATAAGAAGAGGCGTGAAGAGGAAGAAGCCGCGAGACGAGCCGCCGAGGCGGCTCAAACAGAGACCGAGGCGATTCCTCAGACCGATCTGCCGAGCCGTGAAGGTGATGACACAATCTGAGCCGCAGAGGCAAACGTTGCCGAGGCGGCTGAGAAAGATGCGGCGCCCGATGTGGAACCGGGCGATTTTATTCCCGAGGCGTCCAAGGATGACTCGGCGGCGCGGAGTAAAACTCCTTCGAACTTCGCTATCCTGGCCCTCCCGAAGTCATCGAGGCCACCGACTTCGGTTGTACAGAAACACGACCCTAGCCAAAAACGTTCGGCCGCTGACAAGGGGAAAGGTGTTGCTATTCAAAAGGACGAGCCGTCCAAGAAGAAGCGCAAGCCGACACCCGGAGATTCCGCTACGCGCAAACTGGTCGTCGACGACCCTGACGCCTCGGCAGTGATGTTCGCGCGCGTTAATAACGCAAACACTCATCTTCCTCCTCCGGAGAAGCTGAGGAGGCCGAGGTCGTACGGCGCGATGGCACAGTGCGGTACCAAGGTATATTCTATTTGCTTTCCTTTATTTTCATGATTCTCACTAAGTGTTTAACGCGCATTATTCCTTGCAGTTTGTAGCGGCCATCAACGAGCTGATGGCTGAATACGAGACGGACCTGTCTAAGGTTGAACGTCGTCTGGACAATCTCGGAACGAGACTGCAGCGGCGAAGGGGAAGCTGGACGAGGCTGGAAGAGGAGAAGATAGTTCTCCGCGCCGATATTGACAAGGTCTCTGCCTCGGTCATTCATCTGGAGGAGGCAAGGAGAGCTAAAAGCGCCGAGGTGGCGTTGCTCAAAAGGCGTATCGAGGCCAAGGATGCTCTGTTCAACGCCAAGGTTAAGCGTGCGAAAAAAGAGGCGAGGCGAGAGCTACAACTAAGTTTCAAGAGAGCCTCGCCAAGGTAGAGGAAGGTTTGGCCAAGCTCGAGAAGGCCAGAACCGATGAGAATGAGCTGGGGCAAATCAAGGGCAACCTTGCGATGATTGCCGTCCTGAAGAAACCGGACGCCCTAACGCTCGATGATGAGGAGGCGCAGCTAAAGAGCTGGGAGAGTGAGTACGCCGACGACGATGCGTATGAACGCATTGCCTCCGAGATTCGAGGTGAGCTGGTTTTCTCGCCCGTATCGCTGGACTCGGTCGACACCAGCCTTGGTAACGAGCCACTCAAAGAGACAGCGGCCAACTTGGGCGTCGTAGATCCGACCGGATCGAATGCGGGTACGCCGGCCCTCTCGAACCTCCTTGCCGAGCGTGAACGCAGTCCGCGGCCTCATACTCTCTGCTTTCCCTTACCTTTCGTCGCAAATGTTTTTGTACTTAGGCTTTTTGGGTGATTTGCTTTTCGAAATTTTTGTGTAACCGGTGCCTGGATGGCTTTATCCACCTGACTCTTATTTTTGTTTATGGTTATATCCTCCTTTCCTTAGCCTTTTCAGATTTGATGCGTTTACCTTTGACGATCTGTGAAAATGTTTACAAAAACTGTTTACTTAGAAAAAATTGTCACTGACTGGCTTATCGAGTTTGGTTGAGAATGATTTCGATTGCTTCCCTAGCCGAGCTCTTCGAAATCGATAGAAATTCGGGCTAAGGGGTGAGTTGTTTAAGGATCCCGTTTGAGTTCTAAATCCCGAGCTGGGGGTTGATTTGTGGAGCGTCTCTTGTTTTAGGTGACGCTGAAAAGTGTTAAGCGATTATATCAAGGCAACTTTTGTTGGCAATGCCGAGCCGTGTTTAACGACGAGGCGTTTTTCTCTGCATGATGCCGAGCCATGTAAACGACGAGGCGTTTTGTTCTTGTTAACCAAAGATGATTTGGTGTTTATCCATTCTGTCATTGAGAGAGGTCCGCATTGAGTCGAGCTGTTATAGATTGTTTTGAGAAAGAAGCCGAAGTATTTATCAGGTAAGTTATGTGTTTCCTCATTGACGAGGCGAAAGTTCAAGAAGATATAGTAGTCTCGTTGAATATGACTATAGACCAGCGTTTCCGAGAGAATGAGTGTGTTTTGCCGGGTTTTAAGAGTTCACTTCGGTTTTAGAGAAAGCGATGTAGTCTCGACTTACAATCTCGTGTGCGATAGTAAACTGTGGCGACCTGATACGTTTTTGGTCTAATATTTGTATAGCGCGCTTAATTTTTATCCATAGAGGATGTAACTTGCACCCTCGTCCTAGGAAAGGTGGTAAAAGTCCGTTTAGAGAACTTTGTATCTGTTGTCCTGCTGTGGCCAGCAGCGAGACGAGGCGTCTGGAGACTTAATTTGCCGAACTGAAAGTGAAGGCAAGTAAAAGGTCCGAGACGTTCAAGTCATGATAGCATGTCGAAGTGAGATATGATCACTCGCCGAAGTGATGGGTGAACGAATTAAAAAATCCGAGGCGAATTATGAAATAAACTGCTCATTTAAAAGAATGAGAAACTAGCCGAAGCGATAATGAACGAACTAGAATTCCGAGGTGAACATGAAATAAGTAGGTGATTTAAAACGAACTGAAAATGTGCCGAAGTGGCAATGTTCCTAGGTAGGTGAGCTAAAATTGTAGAGTTAAGTGAAGGTATGTGTTAATGTATCCACTCCCCCCCCCCTTTTTAGGAGGGGGGACAGCTGAACCCGTCCGAGGACGGGCTGCCTACGTACCCTTTGCAGGGATCAAGCCATCCCGTAGTTTATGTTGACCGTGCTGTAGCTTTAGTGATAATACTTCTTTAGATGCATTGCGTTCCATGATCTCGGAATTGCTTCGTCAGCTATCGTTGCGAGTTCGTAGACTCGTGGGCGAACTACTTTTGTAATCTTGTAAGGACCTTCCCAGTTTCCTCCGAGCTTTCCTGCATTCTTCTCGGCAGTGTTTTGGAAAAACTTTCGAAGGACGAGCTCTCCTTCTTTGAATCTTCGACTACGAACGTTTTTGTTGTTGTATCTCGCAGTTGCTTGTTGGTAGTTCTGGATTCGGATTAAAGCCTGGGCGCGCCTTTCGTTGATTAGATCGAGCTCATCCAGCATCATTAAGAGGTTTAAGCCCTCCTGTCCTGGTAGAAGTCTTCGTCGAATACCTGGGAAGTCCACCTCGGGGGGAATCACGCATTCCGCTCCGTAGACCAAAGCGAATGGAGTATCTCCGGTGGCTCGGCGCGGGTCGTTTGATGCGGCCAAAGGACTCCTTTGAGTTCGTCTGCCCATCGTCCTTTCTTGGCGTCGAGCCTCTTTTTCAGACCGTTTAGGATCGTCTTGTTGGCTGCTTCAGCTTGTCCGTTCCCTTGAGGGTATCTTGGCGTAGATTTGCTTAGACGAAAGCTTCAAAGCGCGTTGAGATGAACTGGGATCCGTTGTCGGTGATTATCTTGTAGGGGACCCCGTGTCTGCAGATGATATTTTTTCAAACGAAGTGTTCGACTTGAACATCCTTTATGCTTGCGTAGGAGTCGGCCTCGACCCACTTGGAAATGTAATCCGTGAGGACGAGCAGAAAGCGCTTTTGCTTCGATCGATGTAGAGGTCCGACGATGTCCATCGACCATCTCATGAATGGGTAAAGTGACAAAATTGATGAGAGCAGCTCGGTAAGTTGATGAATTGTTGGAGCGTGCCGTTGACACTTTTCGCACTTCACCGTAAATTTTTTGCAGTCCTTGACCATCGTAGGCCAGAAGTAACCGTGCTGTTTTATCTTGATAGCGAGCGACCTTCCGCTAGAATGGTTTCTGCATGCGCCGCTGTGCACTTCGTGCATGATCTTTCTTGCCTCCGGTCCTTCGACGCATGTCATGAGAGGTCCTGAAAATCTCCATTTAAACACCTGACGGCCTGAGCTTTTAATTTGCAGGCTTCCCACTTGTCAGTTGGCACTTCTCCATCGGCGATATATACTCGGATGGCTCCGAGCCATTCTTTGTCGCAGCCGTACTCCGGCTCGGCTGGTAAGGCGTCTTCGTCTATAGGAATGGCTTCGTCGTCCTCCGGTTCTTGCTCAGGAGGATTTATCAGCCGAACTCTTTCTACTTGTTCGATGCTAGGATGTTCGATGAATTCGACTGGAATTGTCCGTCGGAGGTCTGAGTCGGAGGTCGAATCGAGTGCTGCCAAGGCGTCGGCCGAGGTGTTTTCTCTTCGGGGAATTTGTGTGAGCTCGAACTCGTCGAACTTCTGCACCAAATCTCGGACCACCTTGAGGTAAGCTCCCATTCGTCCATCCTTCACCTCGTACTCTCCGTTGAACTGGCATGCTACGAGCTGTGAATCACAAAAGTTTCTTATCTTTCGAACTCCGATTCCCTGCGTTAGTCATATACCTGCGATCAGTGCTTCGTATTCTGCTTCGTTGTTCGAGGCGTGGAAGTTTAGGCGAAACGATTGCTCCAGTATCTCTCCTGTGGGAGAGGTGAGGCGGATTCCTATTCCTGAGCCGTGTTTAGATGACGAGCCGTCGACGTGCAGCGTCCACACTTTGTCTGGAGTCGGCTCGTTCGTTGCTTCGGTTGGAAGTTCGATGAGAAAATCTGCGAGCACTTGTGACTTTGCAGACGACATGTTCCGATACTCGATGTCGTATTCGCTCAGCTGTATGGCCCACTTGGCAAGCCGACCGGATTGGCTCGGGCTATGTAGGATCGAACGCAGCGGAAGTGTAGTGAGCACAACAATCGAATGTGATTGGAAATACGGGCGTAGTTTGCGAGCCGAGACTACGACGGCTAGGGTGACCTTCTCGATCTGGGGGTAGCGGGTCTCAGCGTCGGTCAGTGTCGGACCGTTCTTCTCTGATAAGAACTCTATTCACAGCTGTAGCAGAAACGGCGATGTAGAGGAAGAGCGGCTCTCCTTCGACTGGTTTTGCTAAGATCGGTGGGCTCGCTAGATAATTCTTCAACTCTTGGAAAGCTGCTTCGCATCGCTCGTCCCACTCGAATTTCTTGTTTCCCCGAAGGGTGTCGTAGAAAGGCAGGCACTCGTCGGTGGAACGGGAAATAAACCTGTTTAGCGCGGCGACCCTTCCTATGAGCCTTTGCACTTCGCGCGTCGTCCTTGGAGAGGGCATCTCGATCAATGCCTTGATCTGTTTGGGGTTTGCTTCTATAGCTCGGTGAGTTACCAGATAGCCGAGGAATTCTCCCGAGGTGACCGCAAATCTGCACTTCGTCGGGTTTAGTTTCATGTTGTGCTTGTTCAATTGCTCGAAGCATTCCCGTAGATGCGCGACGTGGTCTTCCTCCTTGAGTGACTTGACTAACATGTCGTTGATGTATACCTCCATGTTTTTTCCGAGCTGAGCCGAGAACATTTTATTGACGAGCCGTTGATATGTTGCTCCTGCGTTCTTGAGCCCGAACGGCATGACTTTGTAACAGTATATCCCGCGATCAGTTATGAATGCCATTTTTCTCGATCATCAGGATGCATTAGGATCTGATTGTAGCTAGAGAAAGCGTCCATAAATGTTAACTGTCTATTTCCTGCAGTGGCTTCGACGAGCCGGTCGATGTGCGGCAAGGGAAAACTGTCTTTTGGGCACGCCTTGTTGAGGTCAGTAAAATCCACACAGACCCGCCACTTGCCGTTCTTATTCTTAACAACCACCGGATTCGCGAGCCAGTCTGGATATCTGGCCTCGGCGATTGATCCTACTTTGAGTAATCTCTCGACGTCGTCGTTAACTGCTTTAGCTCGTTCGAGGCTGAGCTTTCTTCTTTTCTGCTTGATTGGTTTAAAGGTCGGGTCTACGTTCAGCTCGTGACAGGTCACGTCGATTCTTATGCCTGGCATGTCTTCTGCTGTCCAGGCAAAAGTGTTGATGTTCTCCTTGAGGAAGAAAAGAAGTTTGCTTCTCAGAGGCTCTTCTAGTTTTGCTCCAATTTCGACGCATCGCTCCGGACGTGCCTCGTCTATGCACACCGAGTCCACCGCATCACATACCGGCTCGGCGCGTATTTCGCGGCTCTCCGCGATCTGTAATTGCTATAAGAGTTTCGAGAGCTCGTTCGCAGGCTCTCGGTCTGTCTTCATCTTTTCGCGATCTATGTCTGCTCGTGCGTCGGTGACGGGGTTCCTCAGCTTGTGTTCTGCTAGGCAGCACATTCGTGACTCCTTCTGATTTCCCCAAATCGTTTTGAGACCCGCTGGAGTCGGGAACTTGAGACAGAGATGATAGGTGGAGGGGACCGCCCTCATCCCGTTGATCCATGGAGTTCTCATAATCACATTGTAGATTGCTGGGTGATCGGTGACGCAGAATTTGACGATCTTAGTGACTCCGCAAGCTACCACATGGAGCCTGATCGTTCCCATAGTCATCGTCGTTTCTCCTGAAAATCCGGTTAGAGGTTTGGGGATCG